TTGAAAGAAAACCCACAACACTCAAAACTGTAGGAAACACAGGACTGTTTGTAGAAGACTTACCTTATTCAGCCAGTGGGAGACTGCCTCATTTGTTTCCTCCACTCATCAGTTCATATCATCCTTCTTGTTGGTAGAATATATTTCTTTATCCTCTTCTCTTTGGAGCTCACCATGCAGCTTGCTTTGGCCAAAGGAATGTGAGTGACATGTGACATGTGTGTGACAGGTACCATACCTGAGCACAGACTTTAATGGACCTGTATGGTTTGGCTCTACACTTCCTGTTCTAACAGAGCTGAGACCGGGGTGACACAGGCAAGGCAGGGTCATGCAAAGTGCAATGTCAGATTCTGTTTCTGTTTAAAATTTTGGTATTTTGTTCGTGATAGATTTTTGCATTACTTTTGAATTTTTAAAACATTACATTAGAATATTTGTCATGACCATCAAGGTTTTTGGAGTCCTCTTAAATTTTTCAGGCAATACAAGTGTCCCACAGTGGCCCTGCATGCAGAGAATGGCTGCTTCTTCAGCTCTGGGTCTGAAGGAGACCTGCGGAGGGGACTGAGCCAACCGAGCCGACTCCAGCTGAACAGCAAACACTCTGCTATCAGCACCAGCAAGAAATAAGATTTGCTGCTGAAGTCAATGCAGTTTTGAGTTATTTTGCTATGGAGCATGGGCTACTGAATGCTACTGAAACCTAATATACAGCCTGTGACAGATCTGGTACACAGAAATAAGTGAGGTTATAAAAGACATTTAGTAGCATATTAAAATATAATAGATCTTACTCATATAAGCCAACACTACTCTTTAAAACACAGAATATATCTCTTTATCACATACTAACTGAAATTAACCATGTACATGTACTGGGCTACAAGGAAATCTTCAATAAATTCCCAAAAGCTGAAATACTATAGGTAATATTCATTAACTAAACTATAAACTATCAATTGCTAACAAATGTAGAATTGCTTCTCTCCAAAAGTCGAGAATTAAAAAAGAAATGCTCCACAGAATGGAGTGCTATTCTTCCATAAAGAAAGAGAAACTTGGGTCATTTGTAGGAAAATGGGTGTACCTGGTGACCATAATGTCAAGTGAAATAAATCAGACACCCAAGCTTAAATATCACATGGTTTCTCTTATATGGGAACCTGAAGTGTAAATAAAGAGCAAAGTAAAAGATAACAGGAAGCAGGGAGATGGCTCTTTGTCAAATGGGGAAGGGACAGAGACTGAAGGAGAGGAAGGGAAGGGAGGGAAAAGGGCTGAAAAGGAATTAAAGACGTGTTATGTACATACACCTACTCCACACAAGGATTCTAAACATTATGTACTGTAAACATGTACTGATAAAAAGAAAAAAGAAAGAAAGAAACTCTTCAGTAACTTTAAAGTAAAAATCGAAACTAAAATGGCAGACTTACTTAAAAGATGACAATACGACATTAATAGAACACTACATATCAAAACTATAGAATACGACTAAAGCAGTACTCACTGTAAGTTCAACATTGCTTACAGTATTGATGGTAAAATTGTAATAATCAAGATGTAGAATTAAGTTGCATATGAAAAGAATACAAAATCATAACCAAGTAAGCATTAATTCCAAGAATCCAAAGAAAGCATATTAGGAAATACACTAATAATATTCACATGTTTATAGAGTCAAAGAAAAAAACAACCAACAGAGTCCTAATTTTTCTGTGTACAGGAACAAACAGGACTCAGGCAGAAGTCTGGGGGTATATGCCATTAAAAAAATTAGTCTAATGGTATTGTGAAGTTTCAACACAATCTTCTGAAAATTAAATAAGCTAATATATAGTACTTGGCACAATGCCTGACGTTAGAGTGGGGTTGGCTTGATGATTACTATTATTAAAAGGAGAACAAAAATCTGAAGGGATACTATTATTGTTCCTACTTAATACTAGTAAGTGCTGGAGCCACTGATCAAGTCATATTTTCCAGATATCAAGCTATTAAATTTACCCAGGGTAGAACTGCTGAAATGTCTAACAAGGTGGAATTAAGTTATCTATCTTATGTGAACTCTATCATATAGTGCTATAGAGCAAGAAGGATGGAGAACAAGAAATGTCCTTGATGGTTAATGTTTTCTCAAGGGATCAATATTATTTTTACATCCAAATTGATTGTAAAAGCTTTCTTCTCAGCTCTCTCGGGGCATTTAATAGAATAGCTAATATATATGGGTGTTCTCTCACATATGGATGAGCTAGGAACAGTTTGTTCATTTCACACTCAAGGGCATAGGGCTGAAAGGGCTATCTTGGGATTTATATGGGCTGTTCCCTGACTTCTAGCAGGTGTATGACAAATTAGCTCAATATTTAAAATATACAAGGAAAACTCATAACTTCCATTTGTATTGACTTGGTTTGGGGTTTCCTACCTCTGGCTGTTGGGGAAATGTTTAATTGCCTTAAGGATACAGGCTTCCGACTCAATGGGTGTCATTTGATTTATCAAGCCAAAAACAAGTTAAATTCAATAAATTAGCTTAGAGAGTAGGAACCTTACTAATCCTCAAATCCTACAGATAATGCTTTGTAGAGAACATTACAGATAGTAGATGCCAAAACAATACTTATTAAATTGAACTGAATAGGAAAGTGGGGAAAGTTGTTGGGTTAGCAAGAGAATTATCAACCTGTGGTTTTATTACTGTGTCTTATTTCATTTTATGACATCAAAACTTAGGTTACAGTAAAAAAAAATCATGTGGGACAAGAAAAATGCTGAAATTTCCATGAAGTTCTTGTAATTATTCATTCAACAACTTTTATCAAGCACAACGTGCTGGGCACTGTCCCAGGTTCTGAATGTTTTAAATGTATGCTACTCTTTTAAATATTAGTGCATAATCACAAAAGAGCCCCAGTAGAGTCCATGTAAACTAACTAGAAGTTTCTAAATCAGAGTGTAATGAGCTCCTGCTCTGAGAGGCTGCTCTGGGCCCTTCACTGAATGTGGTCAAGCTCCTTAACATCACTAATCACAAAATGCCAGATCCCTTAATGACCCTTTGATAATGTTGACTTCCACATCCAGAAACTTAAAGTTAGGGAATTTACAGTGCGTTGGGACAGGTAGTGTGGTTGCTAGAAAGAATAGCAGAGCAGGAATTCAGACACTGAGCTCTGAAGTAGGGGCATCTCTAGTATGTGACTTAACTCTGCAGTTTTCCTACCTGTAAGATGAAATGAATTAGAAAGATAAAGTTTCTTTCATGTCTGCTATTCTATAATCATATAGCAATAGATCTAATTAAGTCTAAATTCTAGGAGGAAGATAAACTGTAAGTTTGGGCTCAATTTGCAACAGTGATCCAAAAATTTACCTTTCCTGAGTTATGACATCAAAACAACACATATGAGTATGTATCTTGTGCATGTAATTACTATTTTTACAGTGGTCACCAAGAGCACCATTTTGCAGAGGACTCAACCTCTCAGTGCTTTATCAAAAATACTTGATGATTTAGCTACAGGATGTATTTCTTCACTTTCTTTTGTAAAACTGTATCAGATGGCAGAGGGGTTGTAAGAGATACAGTTGGAGGAGGGGTGGCTGGCTAGTGCATGTTTATGTTACTGACAAAACTGAATTTTTATTTTTAAAGTTACAAGGTTTCACACTTCCAAAAAGACTTCAGCTTATATAGTAGGATTTAAAGATGCTCCTTAGGCTAACCTTTCACTTCTAAAAAGACAGGAAAACAGGAGGGAAAGAAGGATCTAATGTAAATACTGCGGATAGGGGTGGGGAATAATGGAGACTTACAATTTAGATACAAAGAATACTGCCAGGAAAGAAGAGCTAAGATAAGATGAGGATTAGGACATCTGCCAAGCCTTGCAGTCAGTAGGTGATTTCAGATCCTGGAACCGAGAGAGGGGTAGGCTCACAAGTTCTTGGTGCGGGTAGGAAGGCGGGTTGAATGACAAAGCGGATCCTTTTCTACGTGAGTGGCTTTAACGTATTTTGCAAGTAAGTGACTTACGCAGGTCAGAGCTGTCTCTCAAAAAAAAACCTAAATACATCTAAACGCTGAGATATTTCACCTTTAAAAAGAGTTGCATGCAAACTCCTTTTCGAAAAGCGTGTCCTTTGAAGGCAAAGACAGCCTCCACCTCCCCGATTTTCGCGACCCCCACGGTGAGTCAGAGTTACCGCGCACCCCGTGCACCCGGCCCAGCCGCGGGCTCAGGCTCTAGGTCTTCAGGGCGCGCGCCCGGGCTCGGGGGCGGAAGGGGGGCGTGAAGTCGGTTCCCTGGGAGCACCCAATCAGCAGCGAGATCCGGCGGTGGCGCCAGTGACGTAGCCACACTTCCCTCCGCCCCTCTGCGGGCGGATGCTGGGCGCCCGCAGAGGTGCGAGCGGGAGCGGGAGCCAAGAGGGCGGGGTGTCGCGTGGAGCTGGGGAGGGAGCATGCGCAACCGCTCCGGGGCGGAGGGGCCGAGATGAGGAGCGGCGTCCGCGCGCGCACGAGCGGCCCACCGGCGGTCGCGGGTGGAGGGGGCGGTTCCTCGAGTGTCGGCGACCCGAAGGCGGGCGGGCGGGCGGCAAGTGCCGCCTCGGCCGCCGCCCGCAGCCTCCTCCCGCTCCCGCATCCTCTCGGCCTGCGGCGGCGATGAGCTCGGCCCGGCCGCAGGCTGCACCTGCCGGCTGCCCATCACCGCGGGCCTCCTGGCGTGACCTCGGCCGCGGCGCGCGTCGGGCCCCCGCGGCGCGGCGCTGCCCCTGAGCGCGAGCGGCGGCCTCCTAGCCCGAGTCGGCGCCCGGGGGCCGTGCGGGGACGGCACCCGGCCCCTGTCCTCCCCCGCCCGCCGTCCTCAATGTCTCCCCGGCGGGGAAGGGGCTGCCTGGGAGACACGCGGAGCGGCCCCCCCGCCAGGCCCGTAGGCGGCTGCTGCAGCGCCCCGCCCGGCGCCCCCCGAGCCTCGCCGCCGCCCAGCGCCCCCCGAGAGGGCGGCGGGCGCCCCCCGGGGAAGATGAAGGCGGAGGGGGGCGACCACTCCATGATCAACCTGTCGGTGCAGCAGGTCCTCAGCCTCTGGGCCCACGGGACGGTGCTGAGGAACCTCACGGGTAATTGACGCGCCAAGCCGCGACCTAGAGGGATGCGGAGCCGCCCCACCCCCGTGCGCGCCCGGGTCCTGCCGGGAGGGGTTCGGGCCCGGCCCAGCCGCCGGGAGCCTTCGAGACCCCGGGCCCTACCCGTGCCCGCCCGGAGGGTCGGCCCCGCCTCTGTAGTACGCGCGGGCCGCGTCGCGTCGAGGGGAACCGAGCGCAGTTAGCGTGTCTGCCCTCGCCCTCCCTTGTACGGGTGCACACTCGCCGCTTCCTGCTGTTTTGATTGTTTTCTGGTTTAGCTCCTGCTGGCAAATCTCAAACCACATGCAGGACACATTCCCTTTTCACAGTGATCTGTTTGCTTCGACTGTGTTTTATTTATTCATATATGGAGGTAGAGATGACTAAGTAGATTATAGTGGGTCGGGGCTGGGCCAGCGTCTAGTGCATTAGAAGCCTTTTAGCTTTATTTGTCTTCTGTCCCCATTTCCTTTTGTCTGTCACTCTCCCTCTGGCCTCTGGCCGTTCCTTCCTTGACATTTGATAATTTGGTGTTTCTTTTCGTTAGAGCTATTGGGAATGGGGTCTAACTTCAGGATAACATCAGTTGCTGTTCCCTAGAGTGAGGGATCATACACATAATATTTAAAAAAAATCGAATCCATAGGTTTTCTTTGTGAAGAAACTTTAGGCTTCCTTAACGTGGAAATGCTTAGACTCTTGAGTTCTGACTTTAAAATACAGCCTCTAAAAAGTAGTATTTACAATAAAGAGATTCAATTGTAATTTTTGGTGAGCCTTCAGTGACTGATTTTCAGAGAAAAAAACTTAAAAACATGCGATTTAATTACTGAAAATGAGTAGGGCTGTCGATTTAAGTTGAACATCAGTATTTCATAATAGATGATGTCAAACTGGCTAATAGTGCATACGTATATGCATATGTATAGATTTTGGCATGGTATTGAAATCATTTATTCACAGAGAAAAATGTTTTGGAATTATATAAAGACAACTTTATGGGCACTAACTTCCTTGAATGTGGAAACTCCAATTAAGGTAGATTTTGGATGGCTATATGGTATCCTCACTTTTAAGGTGTACTTATTTAACTTGGAGCAAGCAGATTTTACTTGGTTGCAGGTCAGAAACATGCATCTATAGTTGTGAAAAACTAAACTGACGTGTAAAGTCCATTTCATAATTTAGAGATAGATTGCTTCACCTTATGGCTTTAGTGTGAAATGATAGATAAGGACTTCTTAAGATATATTTGTGTTTGCTAATAATTAGCTAAGGTCATCAGTGGGAATTTAGAGAAGCTTTTGGGAGCCATAGAGTAAATGTAATGTAAAGGTTCCTTCTTTGCCAGATTTAATATTTTTAAATATTTAAGATTTTCATCATTATAAAGGCTTCCAGTTCCACAAATCAACCATTAGGTTGATAATAGCTAACAACCAAAAGTTAGTTTCTGTTATCTCCGATATGATCTTGGTAATTGGCAATTGCTGATCAGAACTTGTCATTTCATGAGGATGTGCAGGGCCCCCAAAAGTAGGGCTGCGGTAGGATGGAGGAACACTGGAACATACTAAATAACCAGTAGACAAGTTCTGTGTGTCAGGATAAAAATGCAGAAAGTAACAGAAGTAGTCTTTCTTAGCAGGTGAGAGTACCCACAGAAGGAACCACATTACTTATAAAAAGTAGCTGTCTTTAAGTGTTAACATGTGAAATGGTTTCTTGTGGCCTTCACCATACAGGTGACCATTGTAGTCATGTATGTGGGTTGGTCATTATTCCGGAGATGCTAGGTAGGGTGACATTTAAAAGTCTTAAAAACAAGCAAACACAGCTCTGTCTAAAACAAGACAATTACCATTTATTGAGTGCCTGCTATGTTTTACATACTATACATATATTATTTCTAATTTCAAGAATAACTCTGCAAAGAATATTTACCAGGAAACTCAGATACACTAAGGTGCATCATATCATACAGCTAATAAGTGGCCAGCTAGCTTTAGACCCAAGTCTTTGCCTATATAATTCTTCTTTCCACTCTACCATGCTACTTTATTTAGCTACTTCCTCTTTATTCCTTTAGGCAGAATTCATTTCTTGCTTCATCCTCCTACTTCTGCTTCTGCACATATTTTTATTATATATTTTTAATTATATTATAATCTTTTTGTCTCTTCTAGATTGGGAGCTTTCTGAGGGTGGGGCTGTCATACTTATCTTTGAATTCTGGAATCCTGGCAGTATAGTACCTGGCACATAGTGAATGTTAAATACCTGCCTATTGAGTTGAATTTTTAAAATAACTAATGCTTACATAATTTAAACATTGTATTTTGCATTGTTTTTCAGCTACATCTCTCAAAGTGAATATGCTATTAAAGAGGAATGAGGTGGTTAAGCATCTTTTACAGATAATTGTCCTTCCACATGCTTTTAATACATACAAATGTTTACTGATTGCAGGCATATTCTGTGCATGGCACCATGCTCTCATGTGTTTTACTTAATCTTTTCAACAATCTTTAGAGGGATTATGGTTTATCCTTATTTTATAGTTTCAGACATTAAACTAAAGAGTAACTTGATTCTCTAATAGCTAATTGCAAAACGATTACCTTTTTTCAAGTTGTAACACATACTATTAAGTGAAAAGGCATTTTTGTTATCGTGATAAACTTGGAAATGAAACAGCAAATGGAAAGAAGCATAATGTAGAATCAGACTGATGGGTTTAAAAAAAGACTGTGAAGGAATCACAGAAATCTAGTTTATTAAGTACCAAATAAAAGGAAATGACCTGTCATTTCTTTTTTCTTTTTATGATGCTATTTTTCTCTTTGTATATTATAGGCAAAGTGTGAAAATAGATTGACCTTCTTAGAGACTGACTTTTAAGGAGTCTTGTGTATGTATTACTTTGATAGAAATAAAATTGAGTTAAAAATTTTTTATTTATTTAAAATAAAATAATGAGAACAGAAACATCCTAACATTTTAGAGCTACTACTACTTCATTTTAGAAATAATGAAATACCACTCCCTCAATGAAGAATCATTCCATTCATCAGGGAAGTGGCCTGCCAGGAATCCAGCGGTTATTTATGGCAGAGGTGGGGATGGAGCTGCTGTCTCCTGAGTCTTTATTTCCTTGCTTTTCTTTTCTGTCCCCATAGCTTCTTAACCCAAGCTAGTCTGAGAGATTATAAAGCTTGCTGTGCTGGTATTTAAGATTAGCCTGGGGCTGAGGGTGAAGCTTAGTAGCAGAGCACTTGCCCAGCCTGTGTGAAGCCCTGGGTTGAATCCTCAGTTTTTTGAAAACAGAGGTCAGCCTGGTAAGTATTTGCCCTGTCAGCTTGAGAATGTGTGAATGGAACTACAATAGTCTCCTCCATCTTACTCTAGAGCAGTGATGGCGAACCTTTTAGAGTCGAGCGCCCAAACTGCAACCCCAGACCCACTTATGTATCACAAGGTGCCAACACTGCAATTAAACCTGAATACTGAGGTTTTAGTTTAGAGAAAACAAGTCATACTTTAACATCTTTTGTCTTAAAGTGCCGTAGGCTCACCACCACTGTCCTAAGGGCTACATTCCAAAGCCCCTCAGAGGAAGCCTTCAGAATACTAAATCATGTATACACTATGTTCTTTTTCTACACATGCATACTTACCATAGAGTATAACCTCTAAATTGGGCCCAGTAAGAGACTAACAATAATAACTAATAATAAAAGCAATTGTAACTTGCCAAGATTACTGCATGTTGGAGCCATTATTGAGTCAAATAAGGGTTACTTGCACATACTCCCTGTGATACCACAACAGCCCATATGATGACCGAGATGGCTGAGTGACTACCGGGCAGGTATTGTATATGGTGTGGGCATGCCAGATGAAGAGGTGATTTGCATCCTGGGTGGGATGGAGCAGGACGGTAGGAGATGTCATCATACTATGCAGAGTAGTGAACAATTTAAAACTTAGAAATTATTTCTGTGATTTTCCATTTAATATTTTTGGACCGCAGCTTTCTTCAGGTAGCCGAAACCACACAAAATGAAATCTTGAGTAGTTGTGTGTGTGTGTGTGTGTGTGTGTGTGTGTGTGTGTGTGTGTGTGTGTGTGTGTGTGTAGGAGTGGCTGCCCTAATTTGCCTGGCAAATACAAGATGCTAGAAAATAGAAGATATTGAAAATTAATGCTTTATAAAATTTTAAGTTGCCATTGCTTTTGTAAAAGTTAACAATCCACCTTTAGTATTATATATTCTGTTTTAGAAATCCTAGCAGGTTCGGTCTGTCAATTATTTTTCTCTCCTTTGGAAGACATTAGCATGAGGATTCCGTATATAGCACATTAATCCCCCGACATCTAGTCTCAGTTGCATTGTATATGTTGCCCAGTTTCTCTTATGTATCTGCCCCTTCCCTAAATGTAGTTCACAGGATTTCTAACTTGTTCAGTTGTCAATAGATACATGCTTTTTTCAGTTTACTAGCAATGAATGCTTCCTTTCTCAAATACTTTTTATTTCTCTGATTATGTTCTAGATTCCCACCCCTCAATCTAAAATTAGAGTAGTAGTCTAATTTTAGTATGTAGTTTGTCTAGTTTTTTAATTTTATGGGTAATTTGAAGGTTTTTTAAAAATATACAATCAAATGTATCCTGCTTTACTTTTATTTTTGTCAACTAATTTGGCTCCCAACTTTGTGTTCTGACCCAAATTTGGTTGGTAAGGATTTCGAGAAGAATTTTTAATTAGAAAAAGGCAGGGTCCTGAAATCTCTGGATAAATGCAGTGCCAGGTTGGTACTGGGAAAAAGATTGGTCCCTGGGAATAAGGCAATGGCTGAGTCAGGGTTCTTTCCTCACTCTTCGTCAGCCAAAATGGGGGCAATTGCTTCCTCTCTCTATTGATAATAAACATTGGCAGGCTGGGAACTCAAACTGCAATAAAGAGTAAAAGTTTTATATATACACACACA